ATATATAAATATATATATAAATAAGAGAATCCGCTTCCACTTTAACACGTTAAACTCACTTGTTATTCTCTTCCTGAGCCTGTGGGGTGTTGTGGAGACAAACTGAACCTTCTTCTTCTGTCAAACACAAAGCAGAGGTTGCACTGAAAGAACAACATCCCTGACACTACAGCAAAGCTACAACTTAAAGAAAAAGAAGTCAATAAGTCAAGCAAACAAATGCTTTACAGCCTCACCCTCTGTGGTGTCCTGCTTTCTCCTCTGTGGTCTGGTCAGAGAGAGACGGGGAGAAAGGACAGATTTAGTTGTGTGTAAATTAACACAAAAATACAAGAAAAGTGTGTTGAACTCACTGTTGCCGGTTCGGGTGGGAGTGGAGGGCTCAGCGTTGGGAGTCGCGCTGAAGGTCACGCTTTTCCCAGGAGTCCGAGCCAACTCACTTGCTATTTATTAAAACACAAAAATAAAGTGTGTAATATCCTGAAAACCAAGTTAATAATAATCTGATACATGTAGCTGATTGTCATACAAGACAGTGGAGTCTCTCACCAGTCTGAGCCATGCTGTGTCCACGTTTGACTTTCTGAAAGGTGAAAATGGAGGATCCAGCCACTCTAGACATACCCTCCTCATCCTCTGTAAACACAGGAACAATTAGGTGACTGAGGAGTAACCACATCAAATGATCCTTTTTATATGTTTAGCGGCACTGAACACAATAGCCATGTGATGATTCAGGCGCTACCAGATGGAACTGGAGCTGGTGTTTTGATTCCAGCATTGATCAATCAGGTAAATATGTGATATGTTAATATTGTACATACGCTACTCTCATTGATATCAATAAATGGGGCAAACATAATACCCAGTATAAGCACTTCTCAGTGTACCGTAATACAAATCCCCGGCAACACAGCCTACATGCTTCATAAGGATCATAAACCTCTATATAGGATCTATTGTAGGATCTATATCAGAGGGTTTTATCTGGGTGTACCCAATACACTGGCAACTGGTTGCACTGTTTGGCAGCGAGCTGAATAAAAGGTTCAATTAAAACAGCCTAATGAGCACAAAGGGAGCTGGGGGGAGTAAACCAGCAGGTAGACTATGTGTAGGGTTACAGTTGCCTCGCTCACCTTCTGTTCCCAGAGCCTGGATATAGTTCTGCTCATCCAGGAGTCCATTTTCATCCCCATCATGCTCTGCACCCGCTCTGGCTCGTCGTCCAGCTGGGCTCTTAAATGTGACCATCTTCTGAACAGACCCACTGTTGCTCTGCACACCTTGTAGTTATACAGACAGAGTAGTTAGCCAACATCCAGCAGAAGTATCTGAACAGGAGAGGTATAGTGACTCTGCTGTCCCTACCCTCCTGTTTGTCCACGATGTGCTCCAGAGCGTCTCCATCACCAATGAACTTCACCTCCAACACACTCATGACTGAAGAGAAATACAACGTAGAGTGAGTCGGCGGCCTCAGCAGGGTGTCACACAACACACACAGACCTTCAGCTAACTCTGCTCGGCTCTGCCAGTGACGGTAACGCCATTAAGTAACGTTAGCTGACAGTGAGGTGTACAGGGGAGGAGCACAATGAATGTCTTCACTGTCCAGAAGAGAAGTGGAGCAGTAACTTAACCAAATGTATCTTTAGACGTCGGTAACTTACCGGATAATGTCGGTGTCGACCGAGCAAAATGTAAACAAAACGGTCACCGACTGAAAACTACACTGTGCGGTGTGTGACAACTTTCCGCGCCATCCTCCTGAAGTTTTTAAACCACGTGACAAGCGAAAGGTCATATGGTGGCCAATCACAACGTTAGTTCGGTCAAAACCACATTTCCCATCATGCACTTCGCACCGCCGTTCGCAACCACATTGCCGGGACTTCAATGACAGTTTTATGATTATTATCAGCTATAATAATAAAAGCTTGTACTTTTAACAGTGGCATTATATATTTACTGTAGAGTAGTTATAATGTTAATATATGTTATTCTCATTATGAGATCTAGTTTACAAATGTGAAAGAAAAATCTGGAAATGTATTATAAAGACAAAATAAGAAATGGAAATTGAGAACAATAGTAATTTTATTGAGTCAGAAAAAATAAACCACCACCAGCGTTCAGGAGAAGCTGCGGTAGTCCCCATACACATCCATAGTAGTATATCATGAAGGATCATTTATTAACATCAGCATGAGAAATGCCTCTCTCACATCACCAGGCTCCTGATCATTACACTCTCTGATTATACATGAGTTTCAGTTTGTCTTGCAGGTACGGGCACCTGGTGCTCTGCTGTGCATACTGTGAGCAGCTTCTTTATATGTTTCAATTACTACAATTAGAGACAGTCCAAAACTAAAGATTGAACAATGAATATTAAAAACTAATGAACAATCCTAAAAGGTTAAAACCAAGATTTGTAGGCAACATAGAGCAAAAAAGTTAGTTACACTGTATGGACAAGAGAATAACTAACACTCTTCAAAGTAGAAATGCAGAACCCACACATCTGCATCGCCATTCATTTGTGTTTAACCATCAAACTGACACATATAGATAATTGGGTAACTATATCATTATACTCAGTGAGTGCCCACTTACTGACAGCTGTCTACTGGCATTTGTTGCTGCTGTCTTGGCACATTGACTCCTTTACTTACTCATCTCAAAAACATTTCAAGAAACAAACAAGATGATATTAATTAAAGGATGAGACAACATAGTCCTAAAGCTGGAATTTATTTAATTAATTAGAAGCATATGCACATCACTTCAGTTAAAATATTTGGGGAATAGGTCCACAAAAAATAATTCTATGCCTACACTTAGGTAGACGTGAATATTCAATTATAGTCGCCAACTACTTATGAAATCATCCAAAAACATTAGTTGCTCCAAGTAGGAAGAAGTGGTTCTTCTTCCAATGTTCATTTACGTGTCCTAACAAGGTCATGTATGCAGTGAGTGCACAGTTGGACAGCAGTTCACCACCCGCGTGTCGGTGTCCACTTCCCCAGCAGACGGCCCTCCGAGTGCACATGGTACACAGGGTGCATCATGGCAGTTGCACACGACTGTAATAATCAACATAGATAGAGGGTCAAACAAGAGTGCCACACTAAAACTGACACAGTATGAAGCTTCACTCCACATTGAACAGTACTAACATGGTATGGGATCAGTGTGAGCAGCGAGCCCAGGGGGTATTTGCTGTAGTCCAGCGGTCCTGAGATGGGCTCCACTCTACCGTGCTCTTGGGTCATAGACAACAACCTGGAGGGGAATATCCTTCATCAGAACCTCAGTCGCAATTACGTTTAGTATTGAGACTAGAGACAAAACTAGATAACATTACTTGAGGTTTGGGTGTCCTTCAATCATGGCATATCCAGTGGGAAGTTTTCCAGCTCCGTCTAGACTGAGAGAACAATGTGATTAAAGCATATGTAAAACAACAGAAAGCTGCCATGGCTATATAAAAAATCTTTGGTTGGTAAGCATCAAAACTCAACTGAGAGGAAATCAATTGGTAAGCAAGTAAAGTCCATTCTGCAAATATACAACGGGGTAAACAATAATGTTGAAGGTACCTGAGTCCAGTCCATCCACAGTCAATCAGGAGCTGGTTCCTGTGAGGACAGTGTCCAATGACTCTTGTCAAAACCCTCACAGCAACATCCTCCAGACTGCACGAGCCAATCACAGACTGCTGCGCGTCTGAAATACATCAAACACATCATCATCACTGCTGAATTTTTGTGTGCGCTAATTTCAATTGGAAAAAAGCATAAACAAACTGGTACAATGACACAAATACATCGATCACCCATACACACCATAGAAGGTGTAGTTTCCTGGATGCACCTCGCTGAGCTGTGCCATGTCTTTGACTGGGTGACTACAGGAAGGGGTGGAGCCAATGCTGGACTTACAGGTGATGCCAGCAGCCTTCAGTCTGCCGGAAAAGAAACCCAGAGAGGTTTACAGAATGATTCTATCAAGACAGCAATTCACAAGAAATAACAGTTTATTTACTTGTTAGTGTGCTGAAGTATAAAGTATGTGATATAATGTGACTAATAATACAACTTAAATCTGCATTAATCAAAGTGTAGGCCACCTAATACATTATTATTGTATGGTAGCAAACAGTTGCCTATTTACACATTCAGCAGAGATTTAGCAAATTAGCATTCAGCTGAAGTTGTGTTTGTGTTCCCCACAATAAATCAAATACTCCTCCTTTTAGCCCTAGTTTGGTCTAGTTCAGCTCATTAGCTGCTAAATGCTTTACTATGTTCACCAGCTAGTTGCTAACTGTGTCTGCCTGGTGTCTGGAGCTGGGCAGTGTGTTTATCTGATCTTTTTTATGAAAACTTCTGCCTGCTGCTTCTGGAAATGATGCTGTTGAGTGTGGTGAGACTAAACCAAAACAGAGCATTTTAGCATCTTTTAGCTCATTGTTTTGGTTTCCTATCTGCATCTTTACTGTTTTGGTTCAGTAGAGCTGGAGGGATCTGCTGAATCAGATTAATCGCAATGAGTTTGTTACTGTGAGTGACCCAACATTATATGTGGTCATATAAATTATCACATCAAAAAAGATTGATTAGAGCAGCTTTAATGTGTTAAAGCTGAAAATAGAAGTGGCTGACACTGTAATTAAGCAAGATTTAAGTAGTGTTGTGTCTAACATTGGATTAAAGGCCTTGACACACCAAGTCTGTATTTTTTTCTAAATCTGTCATCCAATTAAATTTGTTAAACCTTGCACACTGTCCTTTCTAACCTTACTCTCCTTTCTTCTACAATCATGACGATAAAACAACAAGAAGCAAATTAACTTACTTGTCAGGAGGAAAAAAACAATAGAACTTTCTTTAAAAATATATAAATGTTGCATGTATTTAAACCTTTACATTACATGAAATCATTTTGGCCCCGACTTGCATTTTTTATTGTTGCTTTTTTCATACTTTTCCATGAACTGCAAAGTCAAGCTGGTGGTTTCCTGGGCGACAACCTGTATCTGCTCCACTCCTCTGCAGTTATAGGTGTTCCCACAGTGAGCGTATATTCCTGTTAGCTCCATGCCCTCAGTCTCCGTAATGGCCTGAGCCAATGTGAGCGCCTCAGGTTCTGAGTGCAGGACACCAGCTACGGCAAAGAGCAAACAGAGGATCAGCAGGTGCTTGACCTCCACAGCATAATAGCTGATGATGAGCTGTGTCCTGGCTTCCCTGCGTGTTTTTACCTCTCCCATTGCCGCAGTCGAGTTTCAGCCAGATGTGCCACTGCCGACCGTCCCTTAACGGTCTCTTTTTGAGCTGCTCCAGGGCCTGAGGATGATCCAGTAACACTTGGAAGAGATCCAGTCTCTCTGACAGGGCTGCACAGCGCTCCACCTGTGAACACACACACACACACACACACACAAAAAAAAGGTATTTGGTGTATGGTTGAATAAATAAGATCTAACCAATACAAAGGTTATGAGAAATTATGTCAAATAAATGTTAATTCCATTTTATAAATTCAAATTACACGAACTATGACTTTAGAATTCAAAAAAACAAAGCAAAATGTTATTTCATAAATTTTGAAGGTCTTTATGGAGCTGTTTCACAACCATCTGACCAACCAAAAAGTTATTTCATTGATATTCAGCTGTGAGCCGCTCCTCCATCTCTTTTGTGTACAGGATTTCATGGCAGATATTTTGGCTCGTCATAGCAGGAAAAGCAGTAGGACAAGGTGTAACTGTTAACAATGGCTTTGAATCCTGAAACTGAAGCAGCTAAATTAAATTCAGCCATCATTCATTTTTATTATTTACACTATATTTATCCTAACTTTTCTGTTAAGAATGCCCAACAAAATCAAAACCTTCATATATACGGAGTGCCTTGGTGGCTGAATGATCACAGTGCATGCTGTATTATGCAGCTGTTGGTTTGAAACTAGCCGGTGACCATGGTTGCGTGTCACACCCCTCTTTCTCCCTGTTTCATGTTTCAAGACAAAAAATACCACAAAAAAATTATCTAAAAAAAGAGAATGAGTCTTTTTAGCGTGTGAGTTTAGAGAACCTTATCAAAGGGAAGAGAGTACGCATAGAGGATGTCATCAAATCCGTGGTCGGCATAGAAACAAGCCTCTGCCAGTGTGGAAACCACAATGCACCTCCGCGATCCACCCGTCATTATGTCAGCACACTCACTAGACATGAACACAAATACACAGACATGGACCTAATCAGCATCCCTGACATATGACTGACCTGTATTAATCAAGTCAATTCAATTACATTTATTGTGTATAGCGCAATTTAACAGCAATTATTCAGGCAGCTTCTTCAATAGAGCAGCGCTAGACCGAACTCCTTTTAACATTAATGGACTGTATGTGTGTGTGTGTGTGTGTGTATTCATACAGGGTTTTGTGGGTCTTCATGTGTGGCCGAAGCTGGACCCCCAGCTTCTGACAGCGTTCAATCATCCTCTGGGCATTTCTCTTCACTTTGTCCACATCCACCACCAGAGCAGGAGTACACAGGGCTGAGAGGGCCTCTCCCTCCATAATGGCAGCACTGGAGCACACACACACACCCACCACACACAGCAACACCACACACACACACACACCCAAATCCAGGATATCTATCTCATGCATGTGAATTCTTGTGCGTGACTGGCTTCAAACTCACAATAACTAGTCCGAACAGTGAACTATTGTGTGCGTAGCAAACAACATAATAGATTATATATAATTATATCACGCGGCGATCAGCACAGTTACTAACAAGACCCTTTTTTCCAAACTATAATGTAGGTTTTGCCGAGGCCCAAGATGTTGCAGCACAACTGGTAATAACTAACTTAGTACTCAAGTCCTTTTTGACAGGTACGCTAGTATGTTTCATTTTCTGGTACGTTTGATATTCTACGTGCGCGGCTACAATCAGGGAGGGGAAATATTGTAGCTTTTTGCCCTGGGACATACAACTTATGTGACAGCTATAGTTCACTTTAAAATTAATTTTTGCATGTAACCAACATGATGACAATAATGCTTTGGTTATAATCGTAAACGTATACCACGAGTTCAGTCAGCTGCTAACAATTTGTCGATGTAATTCATAGTCACTGAGCTTCCAGTATCTGACTGATGCTTGATAGGGTTTCCGTGATGGAACGTTTCATTGGCGTTTCTCACTACTATAAACTATACCCAGAATTGTTTCAAACCAAGAAAGTCAATCGATTATTGGAAAACGATCGCCAATGAATGTACAGTTAGCTGAAACGACAGTTCATTAGGTTGCATGTAACTTACGTTAAACAGTAAAATGCTGGCATGGGTTAATTAATGCCATCTTAGATGAAGTAAGATCTCCAAAGCAAAGAATTAGCAATTGTAAAATTATCAATGGTGTGATGTGTGATCCAGCTGCATGACACTTAGAAAAAAGATGTTTGCGGGCATTGGGCGGGGTTTTCGAGGTGGAGCCATGTGGTTCTGTCTACTCATGCTGATGGGGATTAATTCATGGTCGGTAGTGACCAGTTTTGGGCATCTCATTTTGTCGGGTTGTAAAGGTAATTTAGAGCATGCAATCTCACTTCCATTTAGTCAATTACAGGATTATAATTATCTGGTAATCAACAACTTCAGTATCATACAACATAATGACATGAATGATGTACCCCAACCAGACCCCAAATGCTCTATAAGATGTCATCTTTATTCCCTTACTTGCCAAAACACTGTATTAGATATGTTATCCTTTCGGTATTAGGGCTTACAAAATATACATTTACATTTTATCACACACTTGTAAGTGGAAAGGTAGTTCACCCTCATTGATGTGTTAAGCAAGTACTTCAATGCTTTGGGTTTACTGGCAGATGAATATGAAGGAATTCGTGGGCTGATAGAGGCTGCTGTGCGGTGCAGAGTGTCGGGCGTAGAGGAGTCTCTTTAGAGAGGATGCCTTGATTTGTAATCTTGCATTTATTTGTTTTTTGGTTTGTGCCTTGCTGTATCTATCTTTTTTCATTCTTTTTATTATTATATTTTTTTTAACAAAGCCTTGTAGATTTAATTTTTCTGTGGTAATTGAGAGATGATAAATGTTTTGTTGTAGAATTGCAATTTATGTTCCCTTTGAAAGAACTTATATTTTTGGAAAGTTAAATAAATAAAAAAAAATTAAAAAATAAAACAATGTTAGAATAGTATATAATAGTATAGACATTTGTGCATTAAGTACTTTACCGTTTAATACTTAATAACTTTTACTTTCAATGCAAGACTTTAACTTGTAATGGAGTATTTTTACACTACTATTAGCACAAGTATGTGAATACTTCGACCACTGGCAATGCCTCGGGTTATGTAATGTAGAGACCTTTGAACTTTGAAAGATGTTCTTACTTTAAACAACCATTATTTTCCACTGAATACTTTCGACCTCACCAAACTAAAATACCAAAAGTAACTACTGCTACAGGCCACAATATGACTACAATATCACCATTTAACCAAGGTTTTTTTTGCATTATATTTTCAGCCATACTGCAGTCCCCTCAGTAAGAAGGCTACGACACCTGAACCACACGGCTCCAAACCCCTTGATTCATTCCTCAGTATATCAATGCATATTAATAACAGCCTATGAACAGCTAGCATCTATCATTTCAGATGACTCACCCTGTGGCAGTGACTCTAATTTCTCGTCGACTTGCAGGGTGTTGTGGTCACTATAGACATATGTCTATGGTGGTCACGTTACTCCTACGGTGTCCTAGAGTGGTCAAACCTCCTCGCCGGTTGCGGTCATGCACTGATGTAAAGCGGTGGTGCAAGAAGTATTTCTACTAGCTACAGTGAATATGCAACAGTGTACGCAAAAACAACGGGATTTACAAAGAAAATCATAAAGGTAAGCTAAATCGCAACATAAGAATACTAACAGTCCTGAATCAAAGTTGTACATAAACGTATATAAATAATTGCATAAAATATATGCATAAGAATGTCAGAATAGTATAATTAGTGATGCATTAATGGGTCAGCTGGTAAAGGTGGGACAGGCGGCTGGGTATCAATAATGTATCAACATTTTATTAGTTGATTTTAAATGATTTGTTATAGCCTACTTTGTATAAATAAATCCAAATCTGCAAATGAACAAGTGACTAAAGCTGTCAATAAATGCAGTGCAGTAAATATTATATTTGCCTCCATTAGAATTACATAATGTAATAGTATGAATTCACTGTTGAATTTGCTGCTTTGTGTTTGTCTGTACAGCAGAGGGAGTCAGATGCATAAACACCATTTTGTGCACTTGATGAAATTCACAATTTTACTTTTATTATGGGGAGGGGAGACATATTAAATTACTAATGGGAGAAATGTGTTTTGTATGTTAATTTGTTATTTACTACAATCATTTGAAAGCCACAAGTTACAGTGATTTAATGACCAATGGCACATGGGTCAAAACGTATGAACACACCACACATTTATATATCGTGTACACACAAAAGACAGTGTTGGGGTCACCACATTAGGCTTTATTTGGACTTCATGTCATGTTTACATTTTTTTTCTTTTATGTTTGTGTAATCAACTACAGCATGTGCTTGTGTGTGTTTGTGTGTGAGTGAGTGTGTGTGACTCTTGTGTGGCTGAGTGTGGGGTGTTTATGTGTGATATCTTGTCCCTGGAGAAGATATTTCTATGTTTTAATCCCCTGAACAAACTACAGTAATTACAGCATAACATGATGTAAAAAAAGGTTTTTTAGAACCAGTCAGATGGCTTTGTCCTTTATTTCTACTTTAGCACCTTTAATGTAAATACTGACTTTGTGACTGAGGAGGAGGAGAGGGAGGGGAGGCAGCCTATCCGAGGGATGAGCCCCGGAGGCAGAGGAGGAGAGAGAAGAGGAGAAGAGGGAAAAAACTTTTCTGTACACCAGTACAAAATAAAACAAAAAATAAAGCCTACAATTTGTTTCATACACATTCAATAATCATACACCTCTCCTCTGGGATATTTATGAGTGTCTTTGGTTGGAAGTTCTGACCATAGATTCAGAATGAATAGAACAACCAAGTTACATATAATATTGCATGCTTAAGTGTGTGTGTGTGTGTGTGTGTGTGTGTGTGTCTGCTGGTCCTACGTGGATTGTTCTGGCTTCTGAAAATTAATCTCTCACCATAACAACTGACTATTGTCAGTGTCTCAGGCTGCCCTTATTTCCAGCCTTAATGATAATGATGGGGGCAGGATGCGTGGTTGGTTGGTGCCTCTGGCCCGCACCCCTGTGGTGTGGTTTACTGTGTACGTTGCGTGCAAGAGCTGGCCCTCTTTCATTCTGTGGTTTTCTAATTCTATCGGTGGTTAGGAGCGTTACAGTCCGTCACTAGCAAATTCCACGGCAAAGCCGCTAAAAGGACATGGACTGGGTTTGTTCAGCACCGCGGTGTAATCATTCTTCCCTCTAAAGGAATGGGCTGACATGTCCCTAGCGACACCCTCTGCCGCTACCTCTTCATCTGTTCTGTTCGCCATGGCCGACACGTCGCGAACGCCTCTTCCTGCTCGGCCTCATGGGAAGTCACCACCCTCATCCAGCTGGGCTCGGGGCCTGTGCTGCCATCAGGTGATGCACACAAAGCGCCAGCCTTCAGCCCCGTGGCCGGCACGTACCGGCAGTTTTCTCCCTGGATAGAAACACAACATGGCAGTCGCTAATATCAATGGACATTATTTGTATGTTGACATGTCTAATCTAAGTGTTAAGATGAGAGGGATATGATTGTATTGATTTTGGAGTTTGGACCACGATGGTAATTAGCCTTAGCTTAGCATAAAGACGCGTAAGTTAATAAATACTGGCTAGTTAGACCACCATGTTGCTGTTACTTCTGTTTGTCTACAGATTTTTTTTGAAGACTTAATATGTTAATTGTCATTAGTGTATTTTTGAGACCCAGCGCCCTCCAGGCTAGCTGTTTTCCCCTGCTTCCAAGCTTAATGCTAAAACGAGCTAATGGCTCCACATCTGTCAATAAAGAAATAGTTTGACATTCTAGGAATAACGGTTATTCACTTTTGTTCTGAGAGTTAGATAAGAAGATTGACACCACTCTCATATCTGTACGAGAAATATGAAGCTGCAGCCCGCAGGCATTTCATTTAGCGCAGCATGAAGACTACAAATGGGGAAAACAATCATTTTTACACTTCAGTCTTTGCACATATCAAACAAACAAGATTCTAGTCTAGTCTTTAGTCTTTATGCAGAAAAAGCAATGCTAATCGCCTGCTGGCTGTAGTTCATATTCACATGAGATTAGAGTGGTATTGGCATTCTCATCTTGCTCAAGAAAGCAAATTTTCAAAAATGTTGAACTATTCCTTCACAGGTCACCTGCCTACAAATCCAACACGTGTTTGTGTTTGTTTGTACCTGTGCGATCAACACATTGTTGACAGCATGGATGATAGCGCTGCCCAGAGCAGAGGAGGAGTCCATGTAGGTCACTCCTGCCAGTGAATCAGAGATCACTGTGAGATTATGTGTAAGCGGGAACTCCACTCTCTGTTCTCTAGGGCTGCCATACTGCAGCAGAGCCACACGGGCATTCCTCTCATCTTCCTCGTTGTTGGCCAGGGTGAGGCGGCGGGCCACATTCTCGATGAACTCTTTGGCCCTGCGGTGGTTCTCCAGTCCCATCCTCTCAGAACCATCCAGTAGGAAGACCACATCCACTGGCCGCTGAACGCAGCTAGCCACGGCAGGCTCTGGAACAGACACACACACACATGAAGTTTCAAATCAAACATGTTGTTCAGCGAGCTACAGCTGGAACACAGATGCTCAGAGATCAAAGCCAGCAAAATATATACTGTAACATGGTGTGCTTCCATACATGCTAGTTGCAGTCAAGCTGTCTGATGCCATCTAAACGTCCTCAGATCAGTAGGGGCCTCGTCAAGAAAGCACTTTTTTTAGTTTGCTCTACAATTTTATTCTCTTGAGACGACATTATATAAAACATGAATACATTTTATACAAAACAACAAAGTTCACATCAGCAAGTTGCAGTCACAGAGCTAACATGATAACATCTGGTTAAAGCCGCTCTGTAGTTGTTTTCCTCTAGTCATCCTACTTTACAAGCCAAGCCACATGCAAAAAAACATGCACCAACCAAGGGCATAACATACAATAGTTCCTTCATCATCAGTGCCAAGTCAATAAACCAAACATCCACATACACCAACGTCTGACTCATATACAGTATACTGTGGCATGTATAAAACCAGATATTTTCCAGATGTCATGGCCTTTTCACCAACTTGAGTAATTCACAGAGCACAATAAAGACCGTAACCATGGATATGTGCAAAACAGCAAAAGAAATGTCATGAGAGTGATTCAGCGAGCTCGTGATTCACAGTGGAAATGAGGATTCATCCAAGAGCCACTGTACACACACAAGAGCAACATGAATGGCTCTACAGACCAATCTGCCTCCAACAAATGGCTGACATCGGCTTTCCATATGAATGGAAAAAGTTCCTCCACTAAGGTGGAAGAAATGATATGTATCGTATTTCTAACAGACATACTTTATACATTATTGAGGAATATTCTATGAGAAGAGGGAGCATCATGAATCCATATTTTGAATTTTGGCCCATCATTTACAATAACTGTACATAAAGTTGCTCTGAAATGTTAGCAAAGGACCAGCTTCATATCATGCGATTCTTTTGCATCAGCCCAGGTGTATATTGCACCCAAAAAAATGCCCACAGTTTTAATAAAATCTATTCCAGCAGTAAGCTTATTAGTTATTGGCGTCCATAATGGCGAGGTAGCATGATAAGCATATCAGCATTAGCAGAGTCCTAAAGCTTTCTCTGGGTCTCCCATAATGTCTCCATAGACATATTTGAAGGAGTCGATGAACAGCTGGGTCCACTGCTGCCTGTCTTCTCCATGGGCGAGTTTGGCTCTCTGGGCTGTGTACGCCATGGTTGCAACGCCAACCCCGTACTGCTGCTCGCTCAGGCCATTCAGCAGGCTGGCCACACCCTCCAAAGAGGTGGGGACCAATGAGGGGCTGCCTTCCTCGGCCAGTGGCTTCCAGGGGGGAGGGGCTTGGCCCGCAGTGATGCCCCCTCCTGAAACAAGTGGGCGGAATAACATTGTGGGCGGGGTCCCACAGACACGACGCATCAATACAGCCAACAGAGATGCCGTAGATATACCGAGTTGCACTAAATTGCACTAAAGTTTGTGTGTTGGCTTTACAAAATCATGAATTGTGTCATAGGAAAGGAGGTTAAATGATATGTGATATCAATTTAAATGAACTGTGTAAAAAAAAAAGAAAAAACATTGATCTCAATTCAAGCCACAACGCACCGAGTTCGTAAAGTGGAAACAGACAACTTTGCAGCGTTTCCAACTAGTATTATTGTTTGTGCCACTTTCACACAGACAACCGATTGCTTTCCATTTTCGAGAGAGCCTAGCTCTCTGTGAAGAAATTATTAACGCCTCTTTGGAAATAAGAGAAAAGAAAGAAGCATGTTCTCCTTTTCCTGGTACTCGTTCTATTATAGGGAACCAATCTAAACGCGGATGGTGTCATTATTCAATAACCAAAAAGCTATCTATTTCCACTTTAACGTAGCTTAAAGGCGTCAGTATGCTTCAAACAAACAAACTGGTACTTGGTGTTGTCCAAACACATCTAAAGGCCAAGTGTTTATACCTGTTATGAAAGGCCACACTTGTGGAGGGGTACTTCAAAGAAAGGTTCAATCATACAAATGGGGATAATGGTGGACACTGTCAGAAAGTCTCTCCTCAAAGGCATTCATATCGCACTCGGTTGTGCACATGAAAAATGATGAGTAAAAAACGAAAAAAGGATCGTTTGGAAAGATAAGAATTGACACATCTCCGTTGGAGCATATTGACGCCTTAATAATGTTGGTTAGTCAGGCCTGAATGATGAAAAGCATGTAAAAAAGAGAACACTAAGTGATACATAGTGTTTTAAAATCTTACCTGATTTACAAGGGAGTTCAGGGCATATGATGATAGGATCTAAAGCAAAGATAAAGACAGAATGTCAGAGAAAAAAGACAAAGACCAACATAGCTTCTCATAGTTCAGTAGATGAACGTAGTACATAATGTATGTTTCTGTGATGAGTGTACCTGGGCAGAGCACAGTTTCAATCTTGTCGATGAACTCCTCAGCCACTAGGTCTGCAAAGCGCCTCATGCCCAGCACCCTGCCATCCTTCTGGCAGGCGATGCTTTTCAGACTCTCATTCTCCTCAGTCTGGTCGAACATGTCTCCAATACCGATGGCACTCACATCAACACTGGGATCACTGCTCACATGCACCAGTACACACATTTACAAATACAAGAGATGAGACAAAACTTATTTCTTCTCCACAAATGCAAATTCTAAATCTGAAAATACAGCCCCACCTGCAGAGGTAGGTGAGCAGCGAGTCGTCATCTCTGGGGTCGAATCGTCCGTCAGTGATGACAACCACAGTGACGTTGGCTTTGGCTCTGCGGCTGTCCCTGATCAGATTGTCATAAGCATACTTCAGAGCGGATGGAGTCCATGTTCCTCCAGCGATCCACTCCAATCGCTTGACTGCTTCCTGAATAGTGGAGAAGTCCGCAAGTGAAAGATGTTTATGCACAGTGCAGTGGTACGTGAAGTAAGATCATTACTGAGTGTGACACACAGGATGGCACTTCCATCATTTTTACAAAGGTCTCACTACGGCCATTTTATAGATTTTGGCTGGTTTAGTGGAAAAATATTGCATTCATGGCTGTGGACTGCGCTGAAAATGTAAATGTAGATTTGAAATTCCATTAAAAGGCTTTAAACACAAATCTATGTAAAAAGTCTGTTGTTAATCTGTATTTCTCCTATTGTCAACAATTCCAATGAAAATACCAAAACCAACAATGTGTTAAATCATCCCTCAATACTTTGTAACTTCCCTGCCTTGTTACAAGTACATGGTTTTAATTAAAAAGTGTATGTGGGGGTGACTCAAAAGAAACTACAGTGCCCATGTTCATGATCAGCAAGGAACATGTCAGTGTCTCAGTAGAATGTATTAAGTGTTTTTAAAAAATAAGAATATTACCAGCCTTATTATTTGTCTACCATGTATTGCATCCCAGATGAAATGTATTGGTACATGTCAGAAATATGGTCAGAGGGACATGTGCACATGTAACTGTGGTGACTCCCATCTGCCTTATGCATGCAACGCATTTGATATGACTGCACATCAGCCTTGATTAATTAAAAAACATCTGTACAACACAGACAAACCGTCTGTGCTACACCCTAAAAATATCCTTCAAAGCTGTATGCATACAGCTTGTGCCTGTTTGTGAGTGTCAGACCTTGAAAGCAGACAGTGAATCAATCTTGGGGTCGTCGAGCCGGATGGCCTGGAAGGTTCCACTGTGACTGTACTGAACAACTCCCACTCTTGTTCCTGGAACACAAGCATCTATGTTTACACCAAGTTGGCAGCCATCTTGTGTGATTTTTTTACATTGCGTGGTCTAATTCCTAAGTCTTTATAGGACCAGTGTGTGAGAGTTGGTGTCTAGTCTAGTGGTGAATTTGCTAATTGCAACAAACTGAATATCGCCTTAGAAGCATGTAGGTGAAACTAAAGTGGCTAAGGAAAGTCGTGAAAAACACAAAAGGCACCTTCTAAAACCAGTGTTTGGTTTTTCTGTTCTGGGCTACTGTAGAAAAATGGCGGTTTAACATGGCAGCCTCCTTAAAAGAGGACCCGCTTCCTCTGTAGATAAAAATGGCTCATTCTAATCTAACAAAAACACAATATTATGTTACACACTGGACTTGTCTACCTGTATCTGCTTGAGGGTCTTTGGCAAGGGATCCAAGTCTGTTGATGGTGTTGATGACAAAATTCTTCTCCAGGGTGAAGTTAGTCAGACCCACTGACTCTGAGCTGTCGATCACAAACACAATGTCCAGGGCTCCACAGCGTTTCTCACAGTCTGCAGATAAAAACACACACTGTGAGAATCTGACAGCCTATCAGTGTGAGTGTGTCAGAGTGTGTTAAGATCATGAATATGCAATACAGTGGTAACTTAACCACTAAACTCACCACAGCAGCCACACGTTTCCCTGACGTAGTTCATGACATCACATTCCTGCAGGAAGAAACATTATATCATATTATCCATCATATCCTCTGTGTTCTTAATGTGCCAGAGATAAAAGAGTGGTTAGATATTCTTACAGTGAGACCGGGGTCTCCCTCAGGTCCAGAATCTCCCTGTAGAGGACGAGAACACATAATATTACATCATCCCTCTTAGCTTTTGTCCAGTTTGGAACTGCTAGCAAATAATGCTAAGTGTTAAACAAATAAACATGTGAAAACCTCCTTGATTCCACTGGGTGTTTGCTTAATCTGCACTATGTCAGTGACAAGAAAAGCATCTTTTTGCGTGATTTAATCATTTACAGTGCAGGTCTTATGTACTTACGTCACGCCCAGGATCTCCTCTTGATCCTCTTAGGCCAGGTTCTCCCTGATGTCCTGACTCACCCTGTTGCAAGCAGAAACATTAGCATTTTGTAAATGCACTGTACAGACATATTTTGCTCCAGTGACAGCAAACAACTTTGAGGAGTTACTCACTTCCTCTCCCAGAGTTCCTTTATCTCCAGGCTCACCCTTTTGACCACAGTCTCCTCTGCTACCACGAGGTCCACGATTGCCTTTCTCTCCTCTGTCACCCTGTACAACAGCGAGGGAAGTTATGTCAAACTAGTGTGTCACTCTGGCTTACAAATGTAAGTAGACAGTGCGCATGTGTATGTTACCGATGGTCCTCTTGGCCCGGGATAGCTAAAGCCAGGTCTTCCAGGGTCTCCCTGAACATGGATGAAAGAAACAGTCAAGACAGCAAACTGCAGCGAGATAACTGAAAGCAAACACACTAACACCTACACATTGACACATACCTTTGGTCCAACCTGTCCAGGTTCTCCTCTTGGTCCAGCATCACCAGGATCTCCTCTGGTACCCTATAATACAAACAGTGTCATGGGTAAGCTGTATGAGGTAATGTATCTCTGAGGCATTTTTCCATGTGATGTCCAAATGTGACCTTTAACCTACATTTCTCCCAGCGTCTCCTGCTAACCCCGGTGGTCCCCTAGGGCCTGGCAGGCCATTGTCTCCCTGTTCAGAGGAGAGAAAGTTGACGACAGGTGCAACAAAGGGGTTTAGATGAAAGAGTTCAAAAGTCTGTGGTGTTAATATGGACATATGCAGATTTTTAAGATAATATGGTTCTTCTCACCTTTGTTCCTTTGTTTCCTGATTCACCTGGAAGTCCTCTCGAGCCCTCTGGCCCCATTTCACCCTGAAAACATAAAATAAGCGCTGAGACTCCTAGTAGTGGAATTAGTGGTTTCTCAATGATTTTAACCAAGGCAAAAAGTTTGGAGTTTTGTTTCACACTTGTGTGATTGTGCACATGAACTCATACCTTATCTCCCTTAACTCCATCTGGCCCTTGAGAACCCTTTGGCCCATAGTCTCCTCTTCTCCCCTAAAACACAAGAACAATTAGAAAACCAACAAAAAGCAATGAATGGTGAAGCATGAAGGGGAATGTTAGATTGCGGATTAATTTTACCGGCTCTCCTTTGTCTCCCGGATTTCCTGGGATTCCCTATACAAAACAACACACCGGTGAGCTGCATGGCACATAAAATGAGTGCGTGTTTGAATGTATTTCTGTGTGTAGCAGTGGGTCTTACTGAATTTCCTTTCTGTCCAGGAACACCAGGTGATCCAGGACTTCCTCTCTCTCCCTATGGAAGAAGCACCAGAGTTAAGCCTTTCACCTTCAACGTTCCCCAAAACATTTAAACTGTGCATTTGACCTCCGATCCAATATCTGCCCCAGAAAAAAAACAGCTATCCGTGTTACTGTTTACCTTTGGTCCAGGCTCTCCAGACGGACCAGAGGGACCAGGTCTTCCAGCGCGACCGGGATCACCCTGAAGACAGGACACAAGCACACACACACAGGCAAAAGTTAACCACAGGATGGATGGCTGATGGCGTTCGCTTTAAGTAAAGGCGAGACTGTATACCTTTTCTCCGTTAGTTCCAGCAAAACCACGTTCACCAACATTTCCGGGGTAACCATCAGGACCCTACAAAGCATCAAACACATACCATAAATAGGCCATAACATAACAAAATATAGATGTACTCATAATTTTGAATCATGTTGAATGTCATACTTTGTCGCCTGGGTCTCCTTTGCAGCCAGGGGCACCGATCCGTCCAATTTTACCCTAGGAAGAAGAAGAAGAATGGAAAAAATGCATTGCAAAAGAATCTTTACAACCAAAACCGAAATCAGATTTGATTTTACGTTGCCTTTTGATCCCTAAGTTGTACAGCAAAACTTGGTCCTCAATGTTCAGGCTCATGCATCACCTACCTTCTGTCCATCTGTCCCATTGCGTCCTGGGATGCCAGACACGCCCTGATGACAAAGAGAAGAGACAATTAGATGAGAAAGACAGATAATTTTATTAAATGAATGACAATTAACAGATTTAGTTAAAAAAAAAAGTCCTACCTTTTTCCCCTGAGTACCTATCTCTCCCTGTTGGCAGAGAGAAGATCAGCAGTTATTTTATGTACGATCATTATTATCATTCGTCTACAAACCCAGTAATTTATTAAATTGATGAAGTTGATCCACAGAAAAGAAAAGTGATGCCTCACCTTCTCGCCTTTAAAACCTGGTTCTCCCTATAGAGAGGAAAAGGGGAAATAAAAAAAATAAAAAACAATTTATAAAAATATAAACACAAAAACAGTTCATATTTGTCAAACTGTAGTGAAGAGCGAACGATGGGGAGGCGGTGTTGGTGTCTTACTTTGATACCGGGCTGACCGATGGGACCCTCGATACCGGGGTCTCCTGGGCGACCTCTTGCTCCTTTGAGACCTGGATCGCCGTTGTCTCCTTTAGCTCCCTGCAGTCAGCAAGTTATCAGGAGAAAATATATGTGAGGATGACTAGTGTACAAATTCTCTAAGATAGATAGATAAATAGATAGATAGACTTTACAAGGGTCTCGTCTAGACCTGCACTATT